ATTCTTTTCAGACGGATGCGGAGCTGCCTCCCATTTTGAGATATTCACATCTTTCATTTTATGTTCATATCTTAATGTTCAACTTCTATGTGTTATTGAAAGGATGTTATGAACTTTGTGTTATTAAAAGGAAGTCTTTGAAATACAAATAGAAATTTCGATGGATAAATCAAGGGAATAAAGAAGCATTAATCCAAATATGAATGATATACTTTACTATTAATATTAATATAATTCCATCGAGACAAAGATGAAAAGACCCATAAATGTAAAAATGATATTAATGAGAAATGCTTATACAATGTTTCGCTTTATCTCAATAAACATGTATTACTTTAGAATCATTATTTAAATAGTTTGTTAATAATTGGAACTTTTATGATTAAAGATTTAAGAAAATTTACCTTTAATTAGAAACCTCTGTGGTTTAAGCAGTATCATTATATAAACTGTTTTGTGCAAAGGATGTCAATAATCTTTAATGGCTTAGTGATAACTTATAAAACTTTTTATATTGTGATTTTTGCATAAGATTCCCTTTTAAGACATTAAATTTACACGTGAAGTACGAAAAAAGTTTCTCTTAAGCTATTTTTTCACCGTACAGCGAAAGAGATACGAATTCTGTATTTCCTCATATAATGATGGGGATTTATTGAAAGATCCATCATCTAATAAACTCAGATGAGTTTTCCCAGAAACAAAAAAATGAGTCCATAAATCTTCTAGAAAGCTACACTGAAGTGAATTAAGAGAAGATTTAGTAACGCTGTCTACTTTGATTAAAGAAAAATCACACAGTAATAGACCAGACGGTAAATAATCTTTCTTATGGCAAAAAAACCAAAGAGAAATTGCAGTCACAATACAGTCTTGAATGATTACTACTTGGCTTTCTGTTAAAATAAAGGATTTTTGAGCTTGATATTACAACGAAAAGTATTTATTTGTCAAAAAAGCATTTTTATTGCTAGAAAATACAAGAATTCATAACTTGGCACGATTTAAAAGGAAAATTGAATTGCTTCTTCTTCATTCGATATATTTTTTTTAAATTATAAGCAGCAGTGGTTATTAAGAACTGCTTTTTAAAGGCAAATACAGATTAAAATAATAATTCATGCAAACATTCGGAAAGATTTCATTTGTGAGGCATGGTTATTAAATCAATACCAATTTAATATTACATAGACAAACTTTTTATTTCATATATTTTTTTTAAATGATGGGCGCTTTATTTAATAGCCATTAGCCTTGCGCCACTACAAGGGTCGGAAGTGATGGCCATTTCATTATGGAATTCATTATTATTATTCATATTATTTCATTATGGAAGCACCTAATAGGTGGCCATAATCTAATTTCAACATAATTTCCACCTACAATTCCGCCTCCAAAAAGGGCACTTATATATCGTAAGTCCAGCTTCGACGCCCAACTTGTATAGTGGTGGCGTGGCTGACTGCCGTGCCGAAGGCCTCGGGTTCGGATCCCCGAGAAGGCTTGGATGTTTGTAAATGCACAGTGTCGGTGCGGCAGGGCGGCACTCTAAATATGCGGCGAGCCGAAAGTCCTCTTGTGTGGTTTAGTGGGAGGGGAGAGGGGTGTGAGACCCTCAGACCATCTCTCACGTGTGCTCTCCCTCAAAATTGTAAAAGAAGAGGCGGAACTGAGCTAAATCGCATTGTCACCCGAATGTTACTCAAGACTGTTGCCAACGACAGATGTAATCTGGCGTTCCTTGCCACGAGGTATTTCGTAAGCTTGGGCAAGTAAGCATAAGTAACAACAACAACGTTCCATCTTTTAAAGAAATCTCTCGCTGATTTTATAACCATATTTGGTGCTTAGCTTGAGCATAATTTACGATTATTTAAGCTTATGTCACAGTTTCATGCAGAACAGTGCTTGACGTAAATCGTCTATAACAACAACGAACATTCGTTTACTTCGTTCCTCATGCATCTCGATTTCCGTTGCATGAGAACAGACAGCTCCGTTTAGTCCAACAATAGAAGACTGCTCCATTTTAGTTTGCTTTTCACACAAATTAAAAAAACGTAAAATAGAAGAAAAGTAAAAGAAAGGCCAGATATGATGTTGATTGGGAAAGGAAAAAATGAATAAACAGAATAAATTTAATGTTAAGTCATAATCTAAACGAAACTTGACGAAGTATGCGTTGTCAGTAAAGCGAAAATTTGAAGAGAGTTCTGTGAACAGATTAAAAAGTACTTCTCAAGTTTTCTCTGTCTAAAGAAATAAAGTTTGTTAAATTACTCAATTTGAATTTAAGGAGTTTTTGTACAGAATCTGGCGAAACCAAATTGCTTAGTATTAGCTTTTTAAAGTGGAAGGTATATGTGTATTCACATTTAAAATACAGTATTCAGGAATTCCTGAATCTCCGTAGATCATGATATACACCAAATGGATAAAGATAATTTGGAAATGGTCCTGTAGCAAAACGAATTATTGTTCGCTAATGTCCAATCATATCCTTTGTGCAAGAATTGAAAATGTTCTTCTGCTTGTTTCAGCGTATATCAAACATTGCTAGTACTGACTCAAAAATTCTTTTCTAATAATTTGTTTTCCTGAAAAAGAAGACTGGGTTTGGAAGTTGGCCTGTATATGAAAAAGGGCATGTTTCCGCGAGGGTATGCTAAAGAATCTGAAGTATCATTTCTTGAGATATCTGTATGTGCTGAAATCCAAGAGAGAGTTGGAAACTGAAGTAGCTGAGATCTGAGCGAAAGACCAAAAGAGCTCCCTTTCATTACATTAAGGCTAGATTCGCTGTTTCTTAAAATATTACAACTTTCTGGGTACTGATGAATTTTAGAGCTTCTTTAATAGTTAATAACTATGCATGGAAGACTAAGTTTTCTATTCGAAGACGTTTTCTGCCACTCTAATGATATTTGATTTCCAAGATAACAGAATTCATGAGTCAACCGGCGAGTTTGTAAAGACATTAGGAATTTTTGGAAGCCGAAGAGATGAAAAATATGCAATCGCCTTCACCGGGAATCGAACCACGTACCTCTGGAATACCAGCCCAGCGTGCAGAACCACTACACCACGAAGAATGTTAGGAAAGTGGGAGAAATACCTTATAAGTTGACTAGGTATTTTATGTTAATTAACCAGTCAGTATGATTTAAGTCTTTACTTTAACGTCGTCTTTCCATAGTCCTCACTAGAATGCAAATTAAGTTTTTTGTATATATTAGCTGAGGGTTTTGAATGTTTAGATGAGAGCTTCTGGCTGCCGCGTCTTGCTTTTATTTGCTATCATCAGGCCTACGTAAACTGTATTCTGGCTTTAGCGTCGTACTAACCGATGATATAAATAAGTGCCTTTAACTACAATATATGAGCCAGATTGTGCAGTCTGTTTGATGAGAAATCTCAGCTAAAGACTGCTGTTTACCATCCCAGCAAAGAAGCCGATAGCATTCATTAAAGCCTTTAAAGGGCCACATAATTAAAATTCAGATTTTACATTTAATTATTACATGTTGCATTATGTGCTATGAATCATTAATAATGATTACAATAATGAAACTAGACATCGATTACAATAGAGGAATTAGACATAGTTTTTACCATTCAGGTTCTTGCAATACCGTAAGGATTATGTTAGTTTTATTAACAGTTAAATATTGAGTTAAAGTTCCTTTCGTGTCGATTCTTAACTTCAACTTACTACTTTCGGCCAGAACGTAGTTTCAGAATCACGTCTGAATACATAATGAGGAAGAGCGATATTTAACCGCGAAGTTCTTCGGTCTTAGAAAGAGAGGTACCAGGTATTCTGTCTGCACGCGTCCGTCTTTTTAGGCTACTCTCTCGTAAGCTATTATAGCGCTCGGCCGTACTTTAGGCCGTTGATAGCTTCGCAGTCAATTAATGTTAAGAGGCCAACTCTGTTAGAATTTTTGATAGCTTCGGCTATATCTCTTTAGTTTAGATTAGTTTAGTATTATTCTTAGTCTCTTAAGTTCAAAACCCAAGTGTCGGCTTTATTGTACACTCCAAGACGGAGTTTTGTTAAACTGAGTTGGAATAAATAAAGGTTACACGTTTACCCAGTTCTTATTCTTTGTTTAGTATTTGATCAAGGAAAATTTACATAAATATTTTCTTTCCGTTACAAAAAGAATGGAACGTCTCGAAACATTCCAAACGAAAACCTTAAAAGTACTTCAACAAAAAATGCAGGATTTGCAATGGTATACGGAGCGATATACATATTAAAAACTGGAAATCATTTAGAAAAGACTAATAATGGTCATATAAAAATTAAATTTTCTAATTCCCACAGAATCTTTTACATACATTTTTAAAAGCTTATGATTTTTGAACTGGAGCAGAATATTAAATTTAAAATCAGATTTTCATTTGAAATTATCCTGCGATAAATGAAAGCAAAAGGAAAACGGGAAATACGTTCCTGAAACTGTTTTCCTCACATTGATTTTGTGGTAGTAAATACCCAGCAAATCATGTCACTTTAAGTATTATTCATATTATTTTTAATACTTTGCTTCAGAGGCTATACCTAAAAATTAAAATTTTCCATTTTTATGCTACGAAATATAAGTATCTCATGACCACATATTATACACTTTTAGTTGTCTTTGCAGTGTTTTTGCAGAACAAATAATGGGTTTAACAGCAAAGGTTTGAAAGATAAAACGACCATAATTGCTTCTAACATATTATAAACTCATAACCCTACTCTCATATAACCTGTATATTTGCATGTTGTACATAGATACACGACAACAAGTACAACAGTGGACAGTACAAAGTCAATATGAGGACTACTAAGGACGCTCAGGACACTAGATTACAAAGTTTATTTCCAAATGTTTAAGATGCACAAGCAGATGCTTTCATATGCATGGTATTACATGAGGTAACTCCGTAAGAATGAACAGACTAAGATAAAGATATATTTAAGGAATAATTGCAAGCATAATTTTACTTACCTGCTACAAGAAGTTCAGCTGACCCTTGAACGACTTCCTGATCGTTGCTGACGAAGCATTGGTACATTCCAGAATCTTCTCTTCGTACAGGATGGATTTGGAGAATATCTCTTGAAACAAGTTGAATAGGAGCTCCTGTTATCACTGGATTTCCGTTCTTTAACCACACCACAGAGTGAACAGGATGACCCATTACGTGGCAGCTAACAGTTGCCATTTTGCCAACATCAACGATTTGAGTTTGCGGTTCTATTTTCACTGATAATGGGGCTTGATAAAAAATCATAAAATATTGAAACAAGTAATAGTAATGAAATAGTTAAAATAATATACACTAAAGTTTGTGAAAAATGCAACACCATGAAGAAATTGTCGTAAATGAATGAAATGTATTTCACATATTACTGATAGCAGTACAAATAAACGATCAAATTTGCAAGATAAAAAAAGCAAAACGAACGTCAAAAATCAGTACTTTGTGTGTCCGCCACAATGAGCTATGAGAGCCTGTACGCGTCGTGGCCTTGAAGCATACAGGTTCTGAATGTAATCATGGGGAATGTCATTCCATATGGCTTCGATTTACGCCAAAGTTCAGTTTTAGTGTGTGCCCCACCAGCTGCACGAGCAAGTCGACGACCAATAAAATCTCAGACATGCTCAGTGAGCGACTTATCCGCGGAATAAGCAGGGCATGAAAGAAGCGAAACCTGTTGTGCTCTCAAGACGGCTTATATAGTCTGAAAAACATGTGCACTGGGATTATCCTGCTGAAACACAAAGCCCAGAATGTGTCAAATAACAGGGAGGACCTCTGGTTCTATAACTTCCTTTATTTAGCGATCACTTTTGTGGTTGCCAGCAGTCTGCACTAGATGGGATCGACAGTTATACCCAATAGCTCCCCATGCCATAATGTCAAACGTTTGTGCGGTATGACGCTTGATAACACACTGTGGGAGCAGACGTTCCCCTCTGTAACGTCTGACGTGTACTTTTATTATACACCAAAATGTAGCAAGATTCATCGGAGAAAACAATTTGTTGCCATAGGGCACGCCAGGCGCTGTGTTGCCCATTGAAGTCGGAGGCGTTTGTGATTCAACGACAGGGGAATGTTGCGTAAAGGAACTCTTGCACACAGTTTATGCGGCTCATTCCGATGAACCGCGAAGCGAGACAACACATCACCTGTAGACGTGCTCCAACATTGTGCTAATAGACAAGAGGACGTTGCACGATCTGTCACAGCCATGCAGAGGAGGCGTCTATCGTCCCGTGCAGTTGTGTTATTGCGTGGCCCACTTTCAGGGTTTCGCCTTGTTTGTTCTCCCCTGTCCAGTTCTTCTAAACAGGCATTACTATTGTGGCATTACTCTACGTGCGGGTTGCGATTGCTCGATACGAAAGTCCACCCTCTCGCATACCGACTATGCGACCTTGTTCAAATTCCGTTAGTTGTTGGTATGGCAGCCACCGCTGTTGGCGTGGCACACTGACCACTAATTAAACGTTCACCGCAGACAAAGTAAGATAAACAGATTTCAACAGAACTTTACAGTTTTTTATATACATGGAACATTCTAGGATCATTCTAGGCACGCGCAATCGCTATGTAATTCTATTCATTTGCATATCTTACGTCACTGTACATTTCCTGTAAGTTTGGTTAAATTAGCATAATTCCTTTATGGTGTTGCAATTTTCACAAATTAGTATATTACAACACACACACACACCTAAGCATAAGATAATAACGCTTAATCCCTTTAATATAATTGAAAAAGATAAAAAAATACCAAGTTACGACAAAACTTCAAAATCAAAAGTGTAAGGTAATAGAGCTGAATCTTTTCAAACTGTCGGTTGAAAAAATTCAGTATTCTTCTTTATGTTATTTTTCTTTATTTAGGCGTAATTTGAATTTTGTATGAAGGAAAAGTAATCTAATCATAAGAAGGATCTTTTTCAATGCATTAAAACAAATATTTTATATAATTACGTTCTAAAATTAATTATGATATTTATAAACGTGATGAAACAGCTCTTAAATTAAAAATTTACGATTCGTTTATTTCGTAAAATTTTATTTTAATGAGAATTTGTGCCATTTCAGTTCAATTAGAAATATTTTAATATTGCAGCAAGTTGGTTTAAAACAACATTAATTAAAATAATTTTAAATTTCTGAAATTTTTTTATGTATCGAATAGAAAAAAAAAAAATAATATCTTAAATGGGAGTTTTCAAAAATCCTTCTGTGATGTGTTTAATTATATTTATAAATATATGTGTTTAATTATATTATATTTATATATTTATAATGATAATAATTAGATTTGATCTAAATAATCAAAAAAGATAAATATATGACTGCGTTAGATTTAATATACATTATGTACCCTTAGATTTGTGGAAAATATGTTTAATTATCCTTTGAAGATCACCGAAGTATTATCTAGCCGGTTCTTGAACAAGTGTTAAAAATTCAATTTAATTCATAGTTTTCAGAGTTTTTTTAATTCTTTACATTCTTTTATAAGAAATTGCACATATAAATATGCTACTTATATTTTATGGCAAGAGATGCTATTACTTTTTCACTTGAAGTTGGTGACAAAATGATATGCTTATTAAATTTCTGAAATCATCTGAAAGAAATGTAAAGAATTGGAAATCTTTCGTCAGCAGAAAAATAGGTTTCCTCACTTGAAACATTTCTTTAATCAGTATTTTCTTTTCTCCTTCAATTTATATGACAATCTAAGAATTATAAAGTTAAAATCTTCCTCCGTATAGACCGTGAGACAAGTTATCGTTCTACCTTAGATTGCTAATGAAATGACTACGAATTCAGAAAAAGGTTTGAAATAAACCATTTTATTGTAAATTAACAATTACTCAGCTAATGTATGGAAAAACGAATAACTTTCAGGATCTGACAGAACAAAAATGGTAAAGTAAAACTGGCATATTTAAGTATAAAATTCATACGGCAAAGCCCTACAGCAAACTTTGTTCAGGCCTTCTAAACACGTGAGCAAATGTGGCTACAAAAAGCTAAGAGCGCTTTAAATAATTCAGAGAATCGGAAAAGAAGTTATACGAAGATCAGTGATAACTGCGAAAACTCACTCCTAACTTCAGAAACTCTGGACTTAAAATTTAGAACTTTGTAATAGTTTCTTGCTACGTCTAAATGTTTCATAATAATCGAAGAAATAAAATACTGAAATCAAAGAAAAATTATTAGGACCAAAACTTTGTGTTAATAAATCATGATTATGTAATTAAAAATCTCTTACATGCAACACATAACTTGGTACATGCACAGTCTACTAATAAGTTCGAATATTAATAACTTTTGTTCTTAATATGCAAATGAAAATAATTGCTTTTATACCTGAAACTAACAGCTTTGTTTCAGCCTTATCTTGTCCAACAGAATTATTCATCTCGCAAATGTAGACACCAGAATCTTGAATCGCTGCTCGCTGCAGAATAAGGAGACTTTCCCTGTGTAAGATTCTCTCTCCAAGACGAACAGATGTGACCCTATCTCCATCTCGTCGACCCCATCTATAAGTGGGATGAGGATAACCTTGTCCAACACATGGTAAAACAACTCTGTCGAATTCTCTTGCCCGGATAACTGGTCGGGATTCCGTAATTGTAGGTGGCTGAGAGATGTGGGGTTCTAAAAGAAAAATACACAATCTGTTGTAACTAATGGTAATCTCCACTGAGGTCCAATGGCAAACTCAGTTTGATGATGTTTTTTTAAAGTTATCTTTTAGTTTAATTGTTACTTCAGAATGCATGCGCATATGCTTAAAATTTGTCTTCTTTTCTTTAAGAAAAGCTTCGCGTTTTGATTAAACATGGAGGATTGGTTTCCGACATATTAGGACAACGACTAAGTCTCTTTTCTATATTGCGTCTTTTCGTGTTGAACTGATTATTCTTACATCACTGGTTTAAAATCTATAATTACGACTTTTAATCCATATCTCTTATAGGTTTTCATATATGATTGATTGGATAGACAGGATAAGTTACGAATTCCGTTGGTAAAAGTTGTTACATTTGGTCTCCTTTTGTTAGGCATGGTCCTCTTACTATAGCTAGATGTTATATTAACAGTTGTAGTTAACTGTGTTTATCAGTTATTTAGAGAAGAACGGAAATTCCTATTCATTCTCTAAAAATACAATTTAAATAAACATTTCAAACGACATTCTTTAAATTTTGCAAATAACTCAAATCAAAATTCTTTTCTGTTATACAATCATGGCCTCTCTGCTAGCATATTGGTAGAGAGGTGGTTTCCAGGCTTGAACCCGGGTTCAAATACTAAAGATGGCATGGATGTTTGCATAGAGATCGTACCTTTGTAGCATGAGGACACTTAAAATAGTGAAAAAAGACAAAGTACAGACAAAACTCAAAAGTCCTTTCGAGAAATTAGTGGCAGAGGAAGAGGAATGGGAGACAGATCTGCCCACCTAAGGGTTTTCCATTAAAACTGGAGCTGCCTATTTCTAGCAGATTATTATTCGGCTGCCCTTTGTGGTGTACGTTAAGCAACGTACTCGGTGATGAAACGACTACATAATCGATAGGTTCCGTTATTACTTGATAAGAATGCTTAACTAAAGTGTCCGGCGGCTGGAAATAAAATATATCCCGACTCAATGCTTAATTAGCTGTTAAAATGTGTAAGGATTTTCCTCTATGATTGCTACAATGGTTCGTGCTGTAAACAGAAGCATGTTGGGCTAACGATGGAAGGTCAGGAGTTCGAATTTAATTAAGGACATCGTTGATATTTAAAGGGTTTTTTTTGTGTGTGCGTCTTTCTAAACCCAATAGATTCTACAAATCTTTCATGCGATTGTAGATGACCCAGAACTGCAAGACATAAAACATTAATTAAAGTGTATTACAGCGCAAGAGATTCCTTTAAATGGCCACAATGGCTGAAAAATAAACGAGTCATGCATCATCACCTTTTGAAGCAGTAGTATAATTAACGCTCAACGAGTTAACATTAATTGATTCATATTTAAAACATTACATTTAATGAGAAAAAGTAAGCTAAAATTTTAATATTCCGTACAGTAGAGGTAATTACAGACTTGAATATTAAAATAAATTTCTAGATGTTTCTAGATGGATTAAAGTTATCTGATGAAATATAAGTTGATTTAATTACTATATTTTAAATTAGATGATGTTAATTTGACACAAGACATTTAACATTTTTAAAAATTAGCACATTAAGTTACAAAACAGACTCAAACCAAGAGAGAAAAGATTTACCAAAGGCCATTAATTAATACGTCTCGGTACACTTCATTGCGTATCATAGTCGTAATAATTTCTTTCATAGTCTTCATTGCGTATCATAGTCGTAGTAATTTTCAGAAACTTGCGTATCATAGTCGTTTCGAATATAAAACCAAAGTACTAAATCACACAGAGTAATCATATCTTACGAATTTTGAAATCTGTTACTCCTAACAAGATTTATTTTGCATTACATTAAAAATATTTACCACTTTTGGCTGTATGTACCACGACGCTTGCAAAATTTTGTGAAACTTGACTTTCAGATTTAAAAATAAGTATTCAGCTGCATCAGCAAGAAGCTTAAAGGTTTCTAGTCGTGAAGAGAAAAGAAGAAATGTATTGCACCAAGGATAAAGCCCTTAATGGATTCGAAAGAACAAGGTAATTGCAATAATAAAGGATACAAAAGTCCTTAAATAAAACAAAATAATAAAATTGTATCATGAATTACTTTATTTTTGTAATGGAGTTTCTGCTATTTAAATGTTATAAATATATTTTAGAGCACAAATTCTCTACATTTTTCGATTACATTCCTGATTTCAAAAATACATTTCGTTACATTATCTGCAGCAATGATTTTTGTCCTTAAGTCAACAATTAAGGAAACTTTTAAAATTATACTCATGAGTCATAATGCATACTTGCATATTTATATGCGTCAGATATTTAATAAAAATTTCTTCTCATTTGATATTTGATAATTTGAAATTTGATTTAAATTTTCTCTTACAAACAAATTACTCTTAGAAAACATGTACAAACACAAATCTGTAGACTCCTTAGAAAACATGAACAAAACAAATCTTCTCCGAAAAAGAAACAAATATCTAGACTTTTATTAGAAAATACAAAACTGATTAAATCTGACATTAAAAATATTAAAATTAACAATTTCCTGTAAACTTAAATACTTTAATATTGAAATATTGACCGAATAACATATATGATAGCTGACCTTTTCGCTTTTTTTTTTTTCAGAAGAGGAACCAGAGGAGCAGCTTGAATCCGAGTTGGAATCCCGAAGAATGTGTGGCTGTTTAGAAGTGTGTAGTGACTTTGAAGCATGAGGGGACTTAAAATACTGTCGCGCTAGAAGTCCTCTCGGTTGGTTGGTGATAGGTGAGAGACTTACGACACCGAAGACCAGACTATGCACAATTAAAATTGGGTCTGAAGAACCGCTTTCTCCGGGGAAGGAGTAATTCTGTCTCTCTTTATGGTGTACTTTTTAATGTAATTCTTATGTAATTAGTTTATACTCTTTTTAATGTAATTAGCTACTCAAACCAAAGATTTCTTTTCGTAATAATAATAATTTAAAACCCAGACGAGAATTTATGCTTCCATATCTTTTATGATAGAGGTCAAAATATAAAATTTTATGCGTACTCTAAATATTAGTTGATTAAAATTTTACTGAAATTTTACTTATCACTTCCTACCGTTTGCTCTGAAATTGTAAATTAATAAACAGTTTAGAAATTAAAGAAATAACTCAGAAAATAAATTTCATATGTTTTAGAGACATGAAGTATTTTATGATGTTTGTTAATTTGAATTTGACATAATAGGCATTTTCTTTATACAGATTTGCAAGAGTATACATGTATTGCTGAATATAAGCGTATTTATTGCTCGTACTTACAAAGAAATGCATACATAAGAAAGAAAAACATTACATAACAGACAGCATTGACTGATTTAATGGCATAAAAAACTTAAGGCGAAAATTTTAATTAAGTAATTTTTTAGGTCAAAGTTCCATGAATGATAGCTAAGTATGCTAAAAATTATAAATAACTTACCCCTAATTATTAGCTTTCCAGCAGTAGCACTGACTTTGCTTTCTCCATTGAGTCGATGATGAACTTGGCACTGGTAACCAATAACAGCATCACTTGGACCAGCGTTTTTAATCAGTAGCTCACCACTTGGTAAAACTATATATTTATCACCTGCCAAAAAACGCAAAATCATAGGCATTAGACTCTCACAAACTACGGATATTTAATTTTGTTTTAATGCATGAACTAAATGTAAAATTTTTAATATGAATTTAAAATTTTGTTAAAAATACAAAGCAAGTTTGTGATTGACAGTAGAAGATTGTATAAAGGTTTAAAATATATTATTGCTTATAAGAATTTTGATGAATTTCACACGTAAATAGTTGTAAGAGTAATATTATATGAAAATTCAAATAAATTGAAGTAACAGGAGAAAAATTTAAACTCCTATTTAATGGACTGATTTAAATTTGATGTTCAGGTATCTATACAAAGCTTCATAATTTTCTGAAAGTAATGAAGGCGGTGCCTTATAGAAAAAAACATCGAATTCAGTATTTGCCTTCAGTTTGAGAGTTAATACGTTGAGCTTCTCTGTTTTTAATTTGCGAATTATAATGCCACCTTGATATTTAGCCTGAAAAGCTTAAGTATGTTGAACCTAAGTTCTATATACCTGCACTCGTTTAACTTCCCCTTCCTCTTACGAATTTTCTTTTTCGCATTAAATAGAAGTCAAATTAAGCTTCACTTACAAAGACAAGGTATAAAACTTCTTTAAAAGTTGCAAAATAAGCTACGTCTTGTAGTAAAACTAAACATGAGATAATATTAACCACCATTAAGTGCGTTATACTAAGAACTCAGTTACTTAAACACATATAAATTTTTTCATGTACTGGGTTCCAAAAACGGGATCCTTACGCGCCACTACGTTCAGAAGTCGCTCACAAAGTGTACAAATCGGCTAGGTGCGCGATTGAAACTACTGCACTGAATGCTTGCTTCAAAACATATTATAAATCAGGATTCCCAGTTGCTTTTTTTAGGGGGATCGACCCTTGTTAAAAAATGAGTTTAATCATGTATCCCCTTACATTTTTCCCTATAGTATATGCAGTATACAACATAATCATAAAAAAATAAACATATTAAACTGCTACACTGAATGGTTATTAAGCTATAACCATTATAGTTATAAAATATAACCACGGAATAGCTATTAAACTATCACTATGCTGCAATGAATGGTTATTATTCCTATTAAACTGCTCCAATGAATGGTTGCTCCTAGACATATCCTATATCAGGATTCTAAATCTTTTTTTAGGAGGATGGACTCCTGTTAAAGGAATTTTTTTCTTCATCGATCCCCCTACATTTTTCCTATAATTTATACAGTGTAGAACATAATCATAAAACAAATAACTGCACATAAATAAGTTAGAGATAAAAATTATATTAAAAATATAAACATATTTTGAAAAAAAATCGCTTATTAAATTGAAGTTTAATTATTTTATGTACTATTATTTTTATTTATTTATTTTACTTTTATAAATATAAAACCGTGTTCGGGAGCATATTGCAGTAAAATCGAACTGTGTAAAAGTTCGATTTTAATGAATGTGATGGTTACGTTTAGTGTACGGAAGCAATAACGCTTTTAATATTTGGAATAAAACTGCTTAATTTAATTTTTAAATCAGCTCGTTCAAAAATATTGAACTATTCTTATTTGCCTTTCCGGTTCTGCATTCTTTCTTTTTAAATTTAATTAATTAATTTTGTGCTTACTTGTATCTTGTGTTTTACGTTTTTTTATATTGCTACTATTGCCTAAGCATTTGTGTATTAAAATATTAAACTCAGTGGTGCAATAGCCCTTAGTGAGTCATGGCCTGCGATGCCTAATATCTGCTTGTTAACCATGGGCCTCGGGAGGCATGAGCATATATACGTCGGACAAGTGGTCAACTTGTCGCAGGACACCCGGTGCAAAGCGAACTTGGTACTCATTTTATCGACCCATTCAAGGGGTGAAAGGCTGGATTAAAAATATTATTGGCTAAAAAAATGTTAATGTATTATTTCGCTTACCTTTATTTCATAATTTAATGTGTTTTCCTTTTATCCTTATTCATTATCTTCATATTTTCCCTTATCTTCATTTTCCTCTTATCTTTATTACAGTAAGAAAATGAACATCGTTCATCTTCATTTACTTACTATATCATTTATCATTTCCTTATAACCATTTCATTTTTTCTCATATCTTCGCTATTTATTTCTTCTTTATTACATGATACACCTTTATATCAATAAAAAATTATCAATTTATTATTATGTTTTGGTAATCAATGGGATCTTGATTATGCTGATCAACTGTATGTGCGTATTCGGCTATCGACTCCCAATAAACCTTATGATTATCCATATTGAGCTCCTATAACGTTTTATCGACCCGTAGGGGTCAATACCGACCCCGTTGGGAATAAACGCTATAAAATACAAATTCGATCGCTTTTTCGCCAACATCTAAACTAGTTAATTTGGATTCTGGTGAAAGTTGTTAAAAGGAACATTAGGTACAAAAACGAATGTACGTAAAATAGCGTGTTCATTAAAAGAAACCTTACATGAAAACAATGAGGAATAATCATTGTAATCTTTCAGACTACAGAGGCAATAACTAGTAAGAGAACAATGTGGGAGATTCGACAAGTTGTTACGTAGCTTTGAAATCTACTAATTTGTAATTATCGGAGGTTGAAGCCAAGACGCCTCATAGAGGTTACTTCAACATTTTGATATATGTATAATATATTTAACTTATTTAACACTAAAACGCCAGGGTCGGATTATTCGCTCCGGAATATTTAGGAGGGCCCAGTTCTCATTACAAAGTAAAACCTCTGTGTCTTATGTGAGGCAGCTGAGTAGAAGCAGTTGTCTGACGCATATTATCTTTAAGTTTGATTTTTTTAGCTTATTTGAAAATAGCAAAGTAAGGATTCGTGAATTATTTAAAGCAAACTGGCTAGTTTTCAAGTTACATTTGAGGGAAATCCGAAAAAAACCAATATAGCGTGTGTTCTTCCCTGTGGTTCTAATATTAGTCGATTTACCTTATTCAGCGGACATTAGTATCATTTAACTGTTTCATTCCTGCTGACGTATGAGACTACTGCTGACATGAGAGTCATGGCACTGATACATGCAATGACCCTTACATCGGCCTCCTCGAAGCACATGACACATTACGGAGATCATGAATTACAGTTTTATATTCGAACAAATATGTTTCTCAAAATAATAAATTAAGGAAATGAATAACTAATAGTGTATTTTTAACACTAGGAAAGCTTGAGTGACAAATTTATACTTACGTTTACGTGTAGCATAGGACATTCATTTCAGTCTACAATCTCCGATCCTTTGTGTATGCCATTTTAATCACTGTTAATTTTTTTAGGTGCATGTGATGGAAGACAAATGTATTCATTTCATGTGTTGAACTGTGTTCGAAGTTTTTAGACTTTACTTTAGTATGCAAAGGATTTATTAGTTAAATTAAGTAATCGAAGAGATTAAAAAAGAATAAATCTCTAGATCACTTTTTCTGGAAACTGACTTCGTTAGTCACTCCTCCAGCAACATAATAAAAACTTAATTCCTCAGCATTCCACTCCGTCCACTTCAGCACTATTTTGCAATTAATTTTAGCTAATCTTCTTTCTTCAAAATGCCTCTTCTGATTAGCAAGATATTCATGGAACATTTCGTGAGTTTAAACGTTTATTTTTTAATTCCTGCTTAAAAATATATTCTTCCTGAAATTTATGCATGAGTTTTTATTTGTTCGGTTTATTTGATTTAAAATTCATATCACACTAATAAGTGTAATGTATATTACGTATAGCATGCTATAGTACAAAGACTATTATAGATTTCAGCCCAAGGAACATGAAAATTCAATTCGGTCCTCGCTGAGAATCGAACCAGATCTTCCAGTTGCCAGCTGAAGGTCTTAATAATTTAAGACACGAGAATAGGTACTGGGCACAGAAAATCCTCATAAAAATAAACCTAATGGAGTCATCTTTCAAAAACGAAATCCACAGAAATAAATCTAAAGTAATCAAATACGTTCCATGCCAATCTGCTCGCAAAAAAAACTTTTGAGATTTTCTTTCCAGTTATGTGGATCACAATGCATTGATTTCGGATATATGTGTCGTTTTATTCACCACTTTTTTCCCGAACACTCCGTACAATTATTACCCTATACACTCTTTCATTACGAAGCACTTCAATAAGAGTTTGCGACTGTGCTGGAAATGGTGCAGGACTAAAACACGACAGAACCATCTTTTAAAATAAATCTTAATTTGATTACAGTCGAATTCGAGTTTCACATCAGAAATATTGGCAATAAGCGTCGGTTTTATTACTGAGCAAGTCGACCATTTCAAGCAAACAGGTAATTGTATTAAAGGAGAAAACTTAAGATACTTAGTACATATCATTACTGAATGATACATTGCCACATATTTCCACTGTTATATTTTTGTAGTAAAGGAAAACGCCAATGTAAAACTTTAGAATTGCATTCAAATGCAACGTAGATTGATGCATATTTTGAATAAAATTCTATCAATTTTGAGAGTGATCAGACATACTGATTGTATAAACATATCTCATTAGGAATTTCTCTATAATTGCCCTTAAAAGGAAAATTTTATTGAAAAATTTTGAAATCGAAAATTTTCGTAAATTTTGAAGTCGAAGATTTTATATAAAATCTACGGCACTGAAAATTTTAAATCGAAAATTTTATTCAAAGTATACTTCAATACAATGTTGCTTTTGGGCTTAAATTTAAATACGAAAGCTTAAAATAAAAAGAATTAAAAAAGTTATTTTAATCTTTCGTGCTTTAGCTTTAAACTTTAAATTTACTTAATTAATTTAAATTTTAATAGCACTTTCGTGGTGTTGATTTATGTGTGAAAGAGCGGGTTGCCTTTGTTTATAATATCCATCTGCTAGAGCAAAATGGCAGATAAGCAATTTTAGCGGATTTCATAATTTTGCTTCATAAAAATGTTCATTCGTACACGCCTGCTAACGTCAAAGTATTCACATGAAACATCGACACCTTTCCT